CCGCCGTCATCAGAGGGAGGAGCTGCCGGAGGAGATGAGGCTGCTGTTGGTTTTGGGGCTCTTTTGATTTTTATGATTTTTTGTTTTTAGTTTTATACAAAGAATTGGTAATATGACAATTATTACTATAATTTTTTAATTTTTTTTTTCCATATCCTTGAGAATGCAGTGCAGGACTAGTTTGTTATACGTTGAGCTTTTGCTGGTGTTTTTAACTACTGTGATTAATTGTATATGCTTTGTGATTTTAGATCGCGGTCTAGGAGAATTATTGAGAATGTTCGTTCTCAATTCAAAATCAAAATAGAGGTGAGTTCTTGTAGTCTTTTATATGTTAGTTCTTCTAGTGGTTTACATTGAACATTAACTAGAATTTGTACTGTTGTATATCATTTGTCTGTATTGGTTTCACATATCAATGGCAGTTTGTGGTGCTTTCTTTTATTACCTTTTTGTTTGTTTGTATAGTGTTTGGCATATTTTGCTTCTTCATGATTGAGTCAGTTTGAACTTTTAAATAAAATGAGGAAACCTTTGTTGTATCCCTATTAATTTTCGAGTTAAATAATTTTTTTAAATGTACTAGTTCTGTGGATTTTGTTCTTCTCTTGTAGATTATATACCTGTAGAGAACTGTCAATAATATTATTGCCTCTGAGTTATTTACAGGCATTTGTCGTTCTTATGCTTGAAACCTTTTGGTTTGGGGACTGCCTGCATCTATGCTACCCTGGGTTTAGACTTTAGAGTATGTTGTTTTAGAAACGTGTGAGTCTAGCAATTGGGGTACTTTGGTCTCTTCCACTATCCTCTACTGAGCAAGAATCCACCTTGGGATTTCAGTTTCCTCTATGTAGCACTTTACTCATTGTCTCTTCATATTGTTCTGTTGCTATGCATGATGTGATAGTGATAGACTTGAGAACATTTGCTTCCCATCTTATAGTCCATTATACATATTGTTTTTACTTTTTGCTAAATAATTCAATTGCCTTAATTCCGAAATCAAAGGGTTTTTTTGGCTGATATTCATAAAATTCAGCTGGGATTTTAAGAACTCTTTTAAAAGTATTTGGCTCCAGGAACATTTTCGCTCTTCGGTTCATTATGTTTTGGGTTTGTCGTAGTCTTCTTTAAGTTTGGTTGCTGCTTTGAATCTCAAATTGTTGTGATTATTGACCTAAATGACATCACACGTAGATGTCTAGAATAAAGTGGTGAGTTTTCTAATTGTTACTTTACATTGTAATTAATTTTGGCTTACTAGCTTGAGAGGTACTTGTCCATATTGTTGCTTTAATATCTTCTCCATTTACTGCAAACTATCTGCAAACTATAATTAACGAACTGACTCTTCTACAGGTTAGGAGGTTACCAGTTGGAGACGGAATCTGGATAGCTCGCCATAAGCATCTTGAGAGCGAATATGTACTTGATTTTATTGTTGAGAGGAAGAATGTTGATGACTTACGCAGTTCAATTAGAGACAACCGTTACAGGGATCAGAAATTGAGACTCTTGGTATTGATTCTTATTGGAAAGACTATATGTTTTACTTGTATCAGTTATACGAAGTTTGCTATTATATCTTTCATCTGTTGTTTGTATGCTTATTATCTGTTGTTTGTATGCTTATTATTTGACAGTTTTATTGTGAAAACTTGGCATTTCTCCCGCTTTACCTTTACCTTTACCTTTTAATATCAATCTGCCGGTAGTGCATCTTATTGCTAAATATTAAATTACTAATTTTACATGTTATACAATGAAATGAAGAATATCAGAATAAAAGACTGAAATCTTTTCTTGCGAAGAAGATGGAAAAGTGAAAACATATTGCTATTGGTGATTGCTCTTATTCTTTTCTCCCTTCACGTATGGATATTATTATATTCAACGTGACATGATTATCCCTTGTTGGGGATTTTTGTAACATTTTTGTTTGCTCCTATCATAAGTTAAGTATATGCAACCCAAGGATGAAGAATTGATAAACCTAACCATATATCTTAGATAGATGTACTTAGGCCAGCCATTTGGTGTCTGAAATTTAAGGCCAGATGTACTTGCAGAATTCGTTGTTTGCATCTAATTTAGTTTTTTAGGGAATCAGCCATATATGTCTTTATACATGTACTCGGGCAAGCAATTTGGTGCCTGAAAGGTTTAGGCCAGATCCACTTGCCTATTCTTGGTACCCATCTGTGTTAATTTTATTTTCCCAGTCTTTGTAGACGATGTTGTTTGGTAGGTGTTGAAAATAATCATACGTTTTCTTATTTAAAGTAAATGGATTAAAAGCTTTTATGCATATTGATAGCATCATATTGGGTATGAAGAAAAAAAGTTAAATGATGGGAAGCATTCCTAGTTTAAAGAAAACGCATGAGATAGAGTTTTGAGCAAGAACTATTGAAAAGTAGTATTTTCTGGGGCGATGTTTGTTATGACCTCCCATGCTGGGTTCATGTCTTACTGGAGCATCAGTTTCCTTTTTAACGTGAATTTATTGCTGCAAACTGGGATTACTATTTAGTTTAGCTTTGCTTATGAATGCTAAATTTGCTGATTGGTTTAGTTACTTGGTAGAGTACATTAATTGAGATTGAATTTATCTGTTTATGTTAATGCACTAAAAGAAAAGCATGCTTTTAATGTTTGAATATTCTGGACTTTATAAGGTTTTTCATGTGCTTGAATGAGAATAAAGTATCATCCTGTGCAAGGATGGCATGATTCACTCCATAGCTTTTGTTTGAATCATTATAACTGATTGAGTGATGCATTCATTACATTCTTCTTTATGTGCAATATAATGAAAAAGAACAATTGTTGATTTGTGTTTCTCTGTTGTTGGGTTGCTTCTGCCTACTCATTTTAGGCTCTTTTGTCTCATGTCTACTAAAGAAATTTATTTCTTCAAGTGAGCCTTTACATGCTTTTGATGGTTCTGGTTGCCTGTGAAATTTGGATTTACTGTTAAAATATCACTATGCACATTATTCTGACATGTTTGGTCCTTCAATTGCATATTGTTAGAGGTGTGGGCTAAAGAAACTGATATATCTTGTGGAAGGTGATCCAAATACTTCAGAAGCAGCAGAAAGCATTAAAACAGCGTAAGCATTTCTGTGAATATTCTTTAAAGCTACATTTACTACTACTTACCATAAACAATTTTAAATCAAATCATCCTGGTTAAACTAGGAAATGAACCTTGGAATATGTATATCAGCCATAAGTATTTTCAGTGATGATTTTTTCCTAACCATCTGTTTCAGTACAACCTGCATCAGTGTAGTAATAGTTTGCTTTTAAGACCATAAGGCATCCAGAGTTTGGTACTGTTCAAGGGCAGACATCCCTATTAACAGTCCCAGAATTAGACTTTCCATCCAAACAAATCACTAAAACAAAACCACTTTGCTATACTTTTGAAACCCTAATTTCCAACCTTTAGGCATCAAATAGCCTTCAAAAAGAATATCCAACATAAAACCTTGCTCACTGTCCTATATGGTGCAAAAGATCACCTTTACCCCTTGGCAGATATTCCATGCTCTGTAAGCTTGTGTAAGGGTGCTATAACAATTTAGTTATTCAATAGGTTTTAGATGTGAAACGTTTATGAGAAAGTGTCATATATTTGCACCTTCTTTGTAGATGTTAGTTTTAAACATCATTTGACATCCTAGGATCCTTTCGTTTCCCGTTTCAATTTGTCTTTCAAGTTTTTTAAGATTACCATCCATGATGTTGCACATCTCAAATTCCTTTGTGTGATAACGGAAAATAAACAATAGAATAATCCTAATACTGATGTCCTAACGATTTGCAAAGAATTATTATTATTATTATTTGAATCCATCTTCAACAGTTATAAATCTCATATTGTGCAGCTGTTTCACAACTGAGATTTTGGAGGGATTTGATGTTCAGAGAACCATTGACTTGGCTGATACATTGAAGAAGTATGTGTATCTTACTCAAGCAATAACTCAGTATTACAATTCAGAATTCTCTGAGGAACAATGTATACGTGCTGGGGTTTGTCCTCCTTTTGATGAATTTGTTAAAAGGTGCCAAGACCTGGATAAAATGACAGTCAGTGACGTTTTTGCCATTCAGCTCATGCAGGTATGTAATGTTTTTGAGAGAAAGGATTACCATCCCTTATTTGACAAGCAGTCGTGGGTCTACTATTGGTATGTAACAAACTATGTTCCATTAAAAAAAGAATTATGGATAAAATTAATTTCTATGGGTCATGCATTGTTTTTTTTCTCCTTTTGGATATATGTGTATATATATGGATTTATAGAACCTAGTAAATTAAAAGGTGCATTTCTATAAAGGTAAGTGAAGCATGTCCTTTTTAGCATAAGAACTCCATTGAACATAGTACGTGAATGGCGTTTTGGATGAAAAATTGGGTAAATGGTTCCTGATCTCTTTTGAAACAGTATATATGACATAGCTGAGTTATTGCTTAATTTTGAGAACTAGGATAGTGAGAAAATGGTGAACAAACTTTACACACTTCTTAATCATGCATGCAGGTCCCCCAGGTAACTGAGGAAGTGGCCATATCTGTTCTGGATTTGTACCCAACTCTTTTATCTCTTGCCCGTGCCTACTCTCTACTTGTAAGTCCTTCCCTTGGGTTGGAATTTTAAATGTGTTAGGTAATATCTGTTTTAACCAACTGTGGGTGCCCAACCCTTGGAGAATGTGAAAAAATCAACCCTAATGTCTTGGACATCCAACATGGTCACTGATCTATGGATAAACATGAAAACAAGAAAAGAAGAAATTTCTAGGTATTATAATTTTCCATTTCCATTTTACCTCCATTAATTTTCTATTTTTAAGATTTCTTTAGACTTTAGTTTTTTTTTTTTAAAAGATCAACACTGCCTGTGCTGGTCACAGGTGAGGGAGGAAAAATATCATATTTTCATTTTTTTAAAACTAAATGAAAAGGAAAAAAATATGGGATTTTTGAAATTTGGGGAGTGATTAAAGGCGGGTGCAAATAGGGTCAACTGTTTTTTATTGTTCCATCTTGTTGAGTGCCACAGAGTGATTCAAAAGCATTGGTTATATTGCATAACATGTAAGCGAAATAACTATATTTGATGATTCTTCAAACGAAGATACTCTCTGAAAGCGGTTAAAGATATAGGGTTTGTTTGAAGAATTCTGAGATCTCATACAAAATTATTCAGTCCATCATGTTTTGTGTAGTGTTTGAAATTTTTTGTTGGTATTGTATGGTTAAGATTATCCCAGTCTTTTCATTTGGAATCATAATTGTCATATGGATGGATAAAATGTTTGACTTTCTAGGGGTGAGAGTTGCAAGTAGCCATTAGATGCAACGCAGGAGCTGTTATATTCTTTTTTTGTTTATTGTTTATTGTTTTTTTAAGTGTGCTGCTATGCCTTTTTATGTGTTATGTTAAAACAGGAAAAGTAAAATATTTTTCACACATGCGCAATGTCCTGGGATGCATGACTCATAAGATTCTATTTATGTTGGAATCTATTGTTGATTTTTCTTTTATCCTTATTGTTGAATAGAAAATCTTGAAATGTTCCTTGAGACCTGTTTGAGTATGTCACCATTCTTATATAACAATGATATAATGATATAATGGCATTGATCTATTTACCTATACAATCTTCTTTTTAAATTTTTATTTTTTTAAAACTTGTTAAAATAATTTATGCTGTATAATGGGTGGTGAAATGAGCAGAGCTGTTTTTGGCACTTCGGTTGTACTCACTCAAGTTTAATCATATGTTATTGACTAGGAGGGCGATGTCCGTGCACAAGAAGAGATGCTTAGAACCCAGAGTAACAATGCCGTCAATGCGGGTGCTAGTAAGAATATATTTCACTTGGTTTGGAGCAACTGATTGTTTCGTATCTCCTCTTTCAAGTTTTTTGTTAATTTTTTAATTTTTTATGGAAGAGTGCTCTTGTAAGCTACCAATCTTTCAATGTAAATAACATGTCCAGTTCATTGTTATAAAAAATAGCTTGCTGTACAACGTTTCTGAACTGAATGTCGTTTCACTTCAATTGCACTCTTAGGAAAGGCACAATCTTCTGCTTGTTCTGCCCAATTCGTGCAATCTAGTTGTATATTCAACTGTGGTGGGTGAGCTGCATTTTGGCTCTACAGTATGGAACGGGCTGGGTTTTAGATTTAAATTTTTCCAAGCAAAAAATATGAAGAAAGTATCAGTTCCGCTCGCCTAAGGACCTAAAAATGAGGACTTTGGAGGAGCTCTTTAATAAAAGCCATTGGATATAATGTGAGGGCACATGTTATTAGTAGTTTACACCCTCACCCATACTCCTTGTTTTACCAAAACAACCCTTTTGAGTCCTAATCTACAAAATAATAAGGGTAATAATAATAAATAAAAATGAAAACCTAGGGATACACGTTGACCCTTGTCTTCCTCCCCAGTTATCTTTCTCCCCCTCCTCCCCTTTCGCCATTGCTCTTTCTGAACAAAGGTACAGAAGACAGCATTATTCTTGTAGGACCAAGGCTTATAAAAGTCTCGCTAGGCAATACCCTTCGCCTGTCAACTAAAAGGCACACACGAGAAGTAAATATCAGAAGAAGTTGGAAGTGTTTTTATTAGGGTGGAGAGAAGAATCGTCTCTTGATTCTCATATGTTTTCATTTCTGTGTTTTTTCTGTGGAAATAGGAATTAAAGCTTCAGATTTTTTTTTTATCATAAGCTAATTATGATATTCCAAATTCGTAAGCTTTGGGAAAAATGGGACAATACGCAAAACATCGTTTTAGATGTGAAGGAAGATGATGATAACTTAATCTCAGAGCCGGAAGAATGGTATCCTCATCTTGCAAGTCCCATATTTCACTCTTCAGTATGTCATCCCACTCATCATAATTTCTTTTACCACGCAACAAACCCCCAAGTGAATTTGCAGCTAAAGGAAGACCCTTACACCTTCTAATAATTTCGCCACTGATTTCTTCTGTGCATATCAAATATGAAATCAAATAAAGGCGTTTGCAAGAAAAAGCTAAAGATTTATGCAAGTCTCAACCTAGGTCCCAATCTTGGTAGGTTTATGAAAGTTTACATCCTTGACATTAATGTCACATATTAGAGAGAATGTAGAAAGTGAGGTTACCTTTGGAGCGTATCTTGAATTCCAAAATGGTATAGTTTGTATGATAAAACCACTAGGTTGCTTATATATCACTATTTGTATTATGGTAATATGATGTTTGACGTCTTTATGTTTTATGAGATAAATGTATGATAGTTTTACTCATAAGTGTCAAATAAGTAATTCTAAGTTGCGATACTACAAATTAGTCCTCAGACCTAAGACATCACAATTGTATTATGGACGAGTCATTTATCTTTGAGAACACTATACAGTCACATTAAAAGATATGACTTAAAGGTGCTTATCGGGATATGCAGCAAGTTCACAGAGGCATGTAAATGTATAACAAAGAATCTCTACTCTAAGTAAAAAGAGAGAATACTCAAGAGATATGATTCGTTGAATCTTTGGCCAAAATATAGGATGAGAATTGAAACAAGAATGTTTGCAATCATATCTAAGTGAATCATATAACCTAGAAATGTCGCATTAGGGATTTGACACGAGTTAACCTTATCACAATAATGTGACATAAAGTATTATTTTAGGCAAGGACTAAATTGCATTGCAATCACAAACTGAATAGGTTCTCCAATGAATTCTATTTAGCTTGAGTAGCCATGACATATTGCTCAGTGTCAACCATAGTTTGTGAAAGTCCTTTAAGGCAGAATTACAATTAGCCTTCACCAATGTGGGAGAATTGTATGGAGAAATACAATTCATACTCGATTTAGAAGAAGTCGGACTTACGCACTACCTCGCTAATTAAAACCTATAAGATCTCGTACACCGAAAAGGATTGGATTAAGAATTATATGAGAGAAGAGAATTTTGTGGCTTGGTCAAAGTCAAAGGTCAATTGTTGACCCAACACTTGACACGGTCAAGAATGGTTGACTGGTACCAATACTTGTGAGACAAGTTAGTGACTTAAATTAATTATGTCATTAAACAAAGGGTGGTGATTTTCCCACTCCCCTTTTATCCACCTACACTTCATTTTGTTTTTTTTAATAATACTTTTTACTATAAGATAAAAGTAAGTGTAAGTGAATAAAAGAGGAGTGAGAACATACATACAATTTAAAAAAAAATAGAATGTAAGTGGATAAAAAGGGGGTGGAAAAATCAGTACCCTAAACAAATTAAACAAATTAAACAAATTAGAATAGTTTAATTTAATCAATTAAAGTTATTGAATATTAATTGGGTCCCACGTGACTTAAGAAATAAAGAATTGGACAATAGGAATTTAGACACATGACGCATTGAAGCATAAATGTGTAGGACGAAGAATGCCCAAAATTAGGCCACCATAGGAGACATGCAATTTTTTATTTTATTTTAAAGAAAAGAGAAGGTAATCAACTACCATTTACCTCTTCTTGAATACTTACAGATAGAAGTAACTCATCTATATATTATTAAATTACATGTTTCTAATTAGATGAACTTGCTTTTGTAATGCGGAACCTGTCCTCAACTTTTCTTGTATCTGCGTTCACGAACTGAAAAATGAAAGAAATTTAGAGAACATCAAGGTCTGCCGAAGTTCAAGCTAAGCTGAGTGTTTCTGATGAACACGAACTAAGTATAATATGTATATGAAAAAAATTCTCTCCATATATATATTCTGTAGTATGAAACTCAAAGTTCACATACTGTCATACTGACCTCTAATTTCATCTCCTTCTTTGTGGCATATCCTCTGAGATAACCAAATTGAGAAATCCTCGATAAGCTCCAAGGATTATTTACCTGAACGATCAAAATCCAATTCCATGTTAAGAAGAATGAAAGAACTATTTTTTTTCTGTTTCATTTTTGTCTGAAAAGAGGGATGCAACATCTTAGGAGCTCACCCATCCTACTACTACTCTTACAGAAATTCGCTTAAGTACATGTACAAGTATATAGTTGTAGAGAGAGATACTTACACCAGTTGGAAACTTGTCCAAGGTAAAGCCAGCCATACCAATTACTGCATGCACTGGGGCACTGTAGTTGCTATGATCGTATGTGTCGATCCCATTTTCATCTTTAACAGGCAATCCCTTGCATTGACTCTTATAAACCGTGCAGGTTCGCTCGTAGTTATGGACATGACCAAATAGGACCAAATCAACCTAGTTCAATTTTTCAAAGCAATGTTAGAAAGAAACAAGAAAGAACCAATTTGACACATGACGAATCCAAGAGCTTTTTTTTTTTTTTTTTGGAAGAGAAACTCTTCTCTTTTCTGCACGTTGAAATAAGTAAAAGACACAGAGAAGATGAACAATGAAAAAAAAAAACAGAAAAAACAATCAAACTAGCTAGCGAAGGATGTTAATTACTTTGCTTTGAAGCAGTAATGGTTCCACTTCAAAAACAAATTTTGGATCAACACTGAAGAGTCCTTCTGCGGAGGTATACATGGGTCTATGCCTGCAACATTTGAAGAAGTCACAAGCATTTACTACAACATAAAAAGATGGGGTGGAAATCATGGGCTTATTTAATAGCTAGAATCTAATTGAAATTATTGTAATCTTGAACATAATAATCGGATTAACATAATTTAAACTGTAAATTGTGTATAATTTAACATAGTCCACTTCTTAATCACTGCAATGTAGAATGAAACAGAAGCACACAAACACACAGAAATAATGGTTACAAACACTACAAAAACTTGAAGGTATTTCAGTTACACTTACCCCATAAAAATCAACCAAGGAGTTTTGGATCGATCAACAGAAGCCATGTCCCTTCTCATCCATTGATACTGTATAGTGTATCCATTGCATAGAGTAACAAAGCGAAAAACATCAAATAAGCTGAGAATACCATATGCTAGATTGGATAAATATAAGGCACTACAGAAGTTCTTAATTATCTTTACCTGCTCAGAGTTTTGGGACCAGTCATGCTCTGTAGATATCACCGTGATGTGAACACTTGCTTGTTCTATGGAATACCATGGCTTATCCTTTGCCGGGGTTGGCATCGGAAAATAGGTCTCATAAGGAACACCAGATTCTCCACCTGAATCTGGGGTTATGTAAACTGATCCAGTGTCTATATAGTCCCTGAAAAATACATGGTCAAGCATATATTGTTGATGCATGCACAGATTTGGATAAACATCATTAGGGATGGAAAACACAATCAACACACGTACACGATTTTGAATGGTTCACCCATAATTAGGTTACATCCACTGTGGAGCTTCGAATATGTATTTGATAGGAGAGAGATTTTACATTGTGCATTTGAGAGGCATAAAGCCTTAGTAAAAGAAGAGAGCCTTAGAGTGGGAGAGGCAAAGCCTGCCTACTCTGCTTGCTGGTTGCCTCTTGCTTATGTACGCCTTACAAGTAGGCAAGTCATCATGACTTTTGGGATTTAGGTATATGGCTCCCCTTGATTAGGCATGGAGGAGGTATGGAGAAGGCATATGAGAGGGCATGGGCCTTCCTTAATTGGTGGGATTTCATTGTGGGGTTTAGGTGAGGTCAACATATGTTTTAAGGAAAATCTTCTGAAAGTTTAGTGTTATGTGGTTAGCCGCCTGCTGGTTCATTTATAGAGTTGATTCTTTATTCAAATGTATGTGGTCTAGATTAAGCTTGAAAACATAACATGTGAGATACACTATATAGACAGGACATTAATATGCATTGCCACTATGGTAGAAAAGAGCATACCTCTCATGGTTTCCAATAGCTGTCATGTAAGAAACTCGAGAAGCGACAGGACTTATTTGGTGTAGGAAAAAATCCCATTCAACTAAAAATCCAGTGGCGTAGCTAATGTCTCCAATGTGGAAGATAGAATCTACTTGCCCTGAATTTATTTCGTCAGCCATTGCTTGAATTACTGAGAGGGATCCTGGCTATTCATGCCACACAAGATTAAAAATCTCTAGCCTTTACTTTTCCTTCAAGGTGGGCATAAGTAAAATTGAAAATAATGCACTAGTATATACATTGACAAAGTATTTATGGCTTAGAGGTGTGGATGAATGATGACCATATAGTTACTGCATTGCAGTACTAAATGTGTCATGTATACCTGAATGTAATGCTCCGTCGAACCATCACGAGGAGCCTTTCCCATATCACCGAATGCGAGAAATTTGAGTTCATCAGATCCTCCTGCTGGGGGAGTCCGGAATTGGATTTCATTGCTCCAACCAACTGAATCACTGCAATTTATTTTCCATTCCCACATACATAAGGTCACTTTGTGTTCAAGATTTGGTAGGAAAGATGAAAAGCTCTTTATAACTAATGCAAACAATATATTTTGAGCACTTCCATCTTGCACCACATCTCATTGAATTTTTGGAATGGTTTGAAATCAAGCCTCAAATAGCCTCGGTTGCCTTTTTCTTTTTCCAAATGTTTGTTTTGTGGTGGAAATTAGATAGGGGGTTTATAAATACCTTCCATATCTATAAGAGAAATTAGATAAAGGCTTAAGTCCTGTCATTACTGCTGAATGAATGAAGCCTGGGTCATGCCATCCGAAGTCCTTGGCTGGACTTGGTAGAGCTGAACCTACAATTTACAAAAGAGGTACCAGAAAAAATAAAAAAAGCAAAAAATAGAGATCAAGGAGACCTTCAACGTGGAAAACCATATCATAAGGTAATAAGCTAGTGTAACTTTTAGAATTTGTATTTTGCATGATCACATTGTTGATCACATCTTTTACAGAGGTGTCGAGATATATATATAACCTGCCTCTATAAGAGATATGGTCAATTAACTTAGTTATTAAATATGATACATGTAATGAGAAACGTATATATGGATATAGGATGTTGAGGAACTGACTTTGCATGTCATCTTGTGAAAATGTAGTAACTTGTGACGTCTGTTTTTTTCCGTCACCATATTGTACTTGCTGAGGTTTCTGATCACCACTGACCCATGTTAATCGTATCTGCACCCATAATTCATGTTTCATTGTGTTAGAACTATGATCTCACAAGTTGATAGAACCACTTCGGCGATCTTTTTTTATGGGAAAAATATACGAAAACAGACATTTTAATGAACTTGCTTCAATTTGTTAATTAAATTAAGCTGTTCTTAAAGCTCAAAACCACTTTGCAGCCTTCATAAGTGACTTCATGCTAAACTTAATTAGTTCAAGACGAGAATCACATAAAGGAGAAAATTTTATTTTTCAATTTTTCATACTACATGTGTTGCGAAACTGTGAATATACGTAAATTATTGCTATGTCAAGAATTAATAGTGTGAAAATAATATAGAGTGTTACCGATGTTCCCGTCGAATCTATGCTCGATAGATGTCCATATAATGGCTTATTTGGAGTGGCAAATCTCACAGGGCTTGACCTTTTCAAAATGCAAGGTGCCTCGAATCCACCAGAAAACAACACAAATTCAATGTCCGTTCTGATGTTAATAACATGAAATGATAATGCACCACCACAAGTGGACACCAAGCATCGACCATTCCGATACTTTTTGCATTCCTTCTTCTTGCAACTCAGATAGTCAGGATCATTGCTCATGTATGCTGCCTGCAGCAATTTCAAAAAATGTCAACGTACTACATATTATATATTACAGGTCAGTCTATTTTGTTGTTATTCTTATCAATGTGAGACAGAGGGACTCGGAACCTCTTCCGACCTTTAAGAAAAAAATCACTAAATTAAGAGTTCGTTGATTCTTGTTTTAATTATATTGATTGTTCACCTACTTTCTAATCAGGTTATTTAGGGCTTGTTTGAGAATTACTTTAAAGTGGTTGTAAGTGATTTTATGGAGAAGATAGTGGCGGAGCCATGATTTCCCATTAGAGGGGACCCTTCACAAAATTTTTAAAAATAATTTGAATAGGAGTGTTAAAATGCTAAGCACTTAATAAGTTAATTTGACACTAACCACTCGTTTTGGCCTACTTCATAATATCAATTGATATAAATTAATAATATTATATACATTCGTTACAATAATAATTGTAATGAATTATTTATTTATTTTTAGAAACATGAATTTCATATTTTAAATTTGTCTACACTATTAAAGACTGAACGTATGATAATTTATATTCCAACATAGAGAAGAATAAAAAAAAGTTCATAAATCCCAACACTAAGGTACCCAACTCAATGAACTCATACATGAAAAAAGGATGGAAATTAAAAAAATTTATAAAGCTTAAGTTAAATAAAAGAAAAAAGAAAGAAATGTTGTAAATTTAGGAGTTTTTAGTGCAAATATCATAAATTAACTTGAAAATTTTAAGGGAGATAAGTAGATAAGAGATCAAGAAGTTTTATGGTTAATTTATAGACAATGAGAACCTAATATATTGTTTATTTTAGAATAAATATCCTAAAACTAATCTAATGTATAGTATATACATAAAATTGGAAAAAATGGAGTGGGGGCCTGGGACCACACTGGTCCCTTAATGGCTCTACCACTGTGCACATAGCAGGTGTTTCTCCTTAGAATCATTTAAAAACACATATTAAGAAGCCTGAGAGGTACTTCTCCCCATACTTGATTTTGGCTCTTCCAAATTAAAAAGACAGTTATACTAAAAAGGATAACAATATCTAACTAGGGCGAAATCTAAACATA